GATAAGTCATAAGTTTGGAAGATTAAATCTGTAATAAATTTAATACCTATGTTTATGGTGACCAAAATGTTCTGAATCCCCACAACATGAAGGTCATATTTCTTATATTTCTTCACTGTCGTTTATTTACCTGGAAAGTCCTTTCAAGCAAAATATTAATTGCATTTCATTATACACTGATAATATCATCTTTTTACTTAAAAAATCAATTCTGTAGAAATGCGACTGGAAGAAAATATGGTTCCTTCAGATAAAATGGATCCAGACTTTAAATGAAATAGATTGTATTTGAGTTCCCTGCTTGGTAAGTATTTTCTTCTCTTCCTTGAACATGGCAAGAAGTAACTGTACTCTTAGGCTGAGTCATTTTGAAATACATGGTCAATTTGTCTTACTTTAGCTAATTTAGTGCCTTAGTCCTTTCCTTTTGGTTTAAAAGTGAGGACCAGAGTTTTGTTGGGGTACAGTCTTATCTCTCCACCCAAAAGCTATTATTCTGTTTGAATGGCTATAGAACTTTGGAGTAGTCCATTTCTATTCCTAAGACCATTTAGTTGTCAAATCTCAGGCCATTAACAAAAATGTATCTTTTTAATGGTGAATTTTAAAGTAACCAGGTTAACTTAGGTTTCCTAATATAATCACCATACATAATTTAAGTCAATTAATTAATTAACCAAATTACTTTACTTATATACTGAGGTTTGAAAATGTAAGCACAATGCCTGTGAAATTTGCAGTAATTATAATTTTTTCTCTTTTCCTATATAAGAAAGAATACTTCCTTGTGAGACATTCCTGTCCACCTCCCACCCCATTGGGTGATGGAAACTTAATATTCCAATTAGAAGTGTTCTAGTTTCTGCCAATTTAAAACAGCACTTTTTATTTGTCTTTTAAGGTGTGTCCTTTTGTATATGTATTCAACCAAACTGCAGTTTCACATTTCTTACCAGAACTGTTTTGTTTTTGTTTTTGTTTTTTTTTCAGGGATATACCTCCTCCCTTCCAGTTCAACAAACTGTATACCCTTGGGGTAGAGGTCCACGGTCTATATGTGAGTACTTGGCCTTGATCCTCAGAGGCCTCTAAGTATGTGCCTCTTCTGCTCTTTGGCCACCAGGCAACCTGCTGTCATCTGACCCCCACCAGTTAAGGTGTAAATTATCCTGTCTGGTCTGTTTTAGCCTGTTTCTCCTGAACCTCTGGAGAAAAATCTACAATTAGTGCAATTCACAGTTTTGGGTCTTTTTTCTTGGCTTATTCTGGGGCTATTGGTCTCTCGGTGCCACTTCCCCACATTTGGCTCCATGTTGGCCCTCACTACAAACCCGAGTCTCAGACACATAATTCACCTAGCCACTGGTCAGGCTGCCTAACCCTCAGCCTCTGGTATTTTGAAGAACTCCTTTCTCACTCAACAAAACTCAGCTCTCTAAACTGTTGCTTTACTACTAAATATAAGAACCTCTAAATGTAAGTCTAAATATAAAAACATCTTCGGGGCCTAAGTAATGACTTCTTGGTTTCAGACTCCATCTGTCTTTTTCCTAAAGTGCTGAGACTCATTTAATCAGTGAAGAGGCACAGGAAATTGTGATTTAAGGGGAAAGAGAAAACTTGATTGAAATCAGAAAACATGACAAAACAACTAAAAAATCAGAAGAAAATATTTTTAAAAAATCTTTAGAGTGTATCATTGACATAGCAATAAAGCAAAATATACTAAGGACCCAGAGAGGTAAACAGAGGGCTGAAACTGGATTTTATTTTGAGGAAATCTGCCAAACCCCAGTGAACTTGAGTTTCTGTTTCCATGGTCTTGCAGGGTAAGGACACAGGAGGCAAATTTCAGGGCCTAGCCAAGGTGGGAGATCTAACAGAAACCTCCCCTCATAAAACAAGAGTCACAGGCTAAGTTTCATTGAAAAGGCAAGCCAGAAATAACACTCTCCGGGTGGCTTCAAGTAAATTAGATTGTCTCAAACATTTTCTCTTACAGAAAAGAAAAATAATCTTCACTGAGAATCATAATACAGGCTGACGCTCACTTGTAGTTTAAAATGCATGAGATAAAGAGGAAGAGAAAATTAATTATCTGAAAGAAATATGCCTGAAAACATGATGCAAAAATGTACTGTAAAGAGACACAGACATGAAAAATATGAAAGAGAGGTTAAGAGACATCGAGGTCAAAATAAGAAGCTTTAGCTTACATGTAATCGGGGTTTTCTGTAAAGAATGGAATGAGGGGATATAAGAAAGAGAATATTTGATAATGGGTGATACACGTCCAGAAATTATGCATGATACCAGTCCACAGATCTAGAACCCCAAGCAGGGACAATAAAAAGAAACTCTTTCTCAGACATTTTGTGGTGAAACTGAAAAATACCAAAGGAAAGGAAAGATACTAAAAACAGTCAGAGAAAAGAGAGATTGCCTTCAAAGGAATAACATTAGAATGATAGATGACTGCTGGATAGCAACAATGGAAGGTAGAAGTCAGTGATGACATCTTCCATTTGCTAATGAAAATACCTTATATAAAGAAGGGCAAAAAGACATTTTCATATAAGTAAAAACTGAAGGAGTTTGCTACCAATAACTAAAAGAAAGGTATACGAGACTGAAGGAAAGTAATCACAGATGGAAGAACTGAGATGTAAGAAGGAATTATAACAAGAAAGAGGAAAAAATGGGGCTAAATTTAAATAAATATTTGCTACCTATAACGATTTAATATTTTGTGGAAGTTTTTAAAAAAGATAAAATTCTTAATATCTTGAGGAACCTCCATGCTGTTTTCCAGAGTGGCTTTACCAGCTTGCATTCCCACCAACAGTGTAAAAGAGTTCACTTTCTCCACATCCTTGCGAACATCTGTTGTTTCCTGTCTTGTTAATTTTTGCCATTCTAACTGGTGTAAGGAGGTATCTCATTGGGGTTTTGATTTGTATTTCCCTGATGGCTAGTGATGTTGAACATTTTTTCATGTGTCTGTTAGCCATCTGTATGTCTTCTTTGAAGAAGTGTCTGTTCATGTCTTCTGCCCATTTTTTGACTGGATTATTTATTTTTGGGTGTTGAGTTTGAGAAGTTCTTTATAGATGGGATACCAACCCTTTATCTGTAATGTCATTTGCAAATATCTTCTCCCATTCTGTTGATTGCCTCTTAGTTTTGTTGACTATTTCCTTTGCTGTGCAGAAGCTTTTTATCTTGATGAAGTCCCAAAAGTTCATTTTTGTTTTGTTTCCCTTGCCTTTGGAGACGTGTCTTGAAAGAGATCGCTGTGGCCAATGTCAAAGGGGTTACTGCCTATGTTCTCCTTTAGGATTCTGATGGATTCCTGTCTCACATTTAGGTCTTTCATTCATTTTGAGTTTATCTTTGTGTATGGTGTAAGAGAATCGTCCAGTTTTATTTTTCTGCATGTGGTTGTCCAATTTTCCCAGCACCATTTATCGAAGAGACTCTCTTTTTCTCCATTGGATATTCTTTCCTGCTTTTTTGAAGATTAGTTGACCATAGAGTTGAGGGTCCATTTCTAGGGTCTCTATTCTGTTCCACTGATCTATGTGTCTGTTTTTGTGCTGAGATGCCTTTCAACAGACAAATGGATAAAGAAGATGTGGCTCATATATACAATGAAATAATACTCAGTCATCAGAAAGGATGAATACCCATCATTTGCATCGACATGCATGGAACTGGAGGGGATTATGCTAAGTGAAATAAGTCAAGCAGAGAAAGACAATTACCATATGGTTTCACTCATATGTGGAATAAAAGCAATAGTGCAGAGGAGCATAGGGGAAGGGAGGGAAAACTGAATGGGAAAAAATCAGAGAGGGAGACAGACCATGAGAGACTCTGGACTCCAGGAACAAACTGAGGGTTACAGAAGGGAAGGGGGTGGGGGAATGGGGTAGCCGAGTGATGGGTTTTAAGGAGGGCACGTGTGGCGATGAGTACTGGGTGTTATACGCAAACAATGAATCATGGGTCACTACATCAAAAACTAATGATGTAATGTATGGTGATTAACATAACATAATAAAATAAGAAAAAACTAATGATGTACTATATACTGGCTAATTGAACATGATAATAAAAATAAATAAATAAATATAAAAAGATAATATTCGTGACAATAATAGCACATGTTACAAATTGTGTGATTGAAGTTAAGGTTTTCTAATGTTCTTGATTATTTGGGAGAAGAGTAAATACATTTGTTAACTTTAGATTTTGATCATTTACATATGCAAGCTGAAACATTCTGAGTAATAACAAAAAAGAATGGAAATGGAGTGTACAATTTCCAAACTAGTAGAGAGGAAAATGTAATGAGAAAAAAAAATCAATCTAAAAGAACATAAGAATGGAGAAAAAATGAAACACAGGAAAGGCAGGACAAATAGAAAGCGAATAATAATCCAAATATATTTGTTATGGCAATAAATAGACAAGACCAAATCCTTTAGTTTAGAGACAAAGTTTGTCAGATAATTGTTTTTATATTAACTATATGCTGATTATTAGAGACCCTCCTAATGAAGAATATAAAAATATAATAAGTAAAAGGATGGAAAGAAGATATATTAAGCAAATAACAATAATAATAATAATTAGCTGGGCTATTTCTATTAATTTTGCATAATTGAGATTTTTTCCTAGAACTCAAAGAGTCTCTACATAATGATAAATGTTTCAATTCACTAGGGAAAAGTATTTCTAAATATGTATGTGTCCCAGAACTAAATTTCAAAATACATAAAGTAAAATTTGACAGACTACAAGAAGAAATAAGTTCATTTTCATAATGAAAGACTTAAACACATCTTTCTAATGAATTGGTACAAAAGCAGAATTAATTGATCTCTTGAACCTAACAACTGTAATTTAAAAGATTCATGGAAATTTTCAGAAAATTGAGCACATACCAAGCCTAAAAGGAAATCTCAACAACCATCTCTTATACTAAAAGATACAACCTCATTAAGTTGTCCACTGGGAAGAACTGGCCACATGTAGGTAAGTTTGTTCCAGAGAGGATTTTCAACTCTGGAATGTTTCCACTGGCCTGGCTTATTAGTCCCTTCATGTTTTATGGCCCACCTAAAACAAAATAAGAGACAAAAAGGAATTTAGTAAGATTAAATATCACTTCAAAATATTTTTAAAAATCAGGAAAAATTGGCAATGTCATAACTGACACTGGAATTTGAGGCAAAAGTCAAAGTGAACAATCATTTTATAATAACAATGACATAAATAACAATACTAACAGAAAAAATCAAACAAAACTTTTTAGACATTCAAAGAGAAACTGACATAAACACAATTATTGTGAGAGACATCATTATAAGACCAATAGATTATAAACCACCAAGCAAATTTTTCTAGGGTAGCAAATAAGAATATGAAATATCTGACTGGTACAACTAATAAATATAAGTATGCTCATTTATTTATATACATTGTAGCCTACTAACAGAAAAAACGTTTCTCAACAATTCTTTGAACATTAGTATCTGCCACATACTAACAACGTAAAACCCCAATAATATAACTTAAAAAACACATTCTTGGGTGCCAGCGTGGCTCAGTCAGTTAAACATCTGCCTTTGGCTCAGGATCAAGTCCAGAGTGGCGCTCCCTGCTCATCAGGGAGCCTGCTTTTCCCTCTCCCCCACTGCTAGTGCTCTCTTTCTCGCTCTCTCTCTCTCTCAAATAAATAAATAAATAAAATCTTTAAAACAAACAAAACACATTCTCTCTCCCCAAATACTATTATATCATACAAAGAAAAAATAGTATGATCAATAGCTGTTTAGAAAGCAATGAAAATAATCATGAAAACATATAATCTAGAATTATATTCAAAGGTAAATTCATAATGTTAAGTGCTTTTTTAAAAAACAGCCAAATTGAGAAGGAGAACTAATAAACATTCAAGTCAATTATTTTAAAGTATATATAAAATTGTCCCATGGAAAATAGATGAAAGGAAATAATATTCAAATAGAAATAAATAAATTAGAAAATAGAACATCAGTAGAATGGTTCAAAGAAATGTTTTTGAAATAAAAATAAAATAGCAAATCTCTTGCAAGTAAATCTAGATTAATATAATACAAACCAAACGGAAAATTGAGCTAAATATTTGGCATAGAAAAGACTGAAAGAGTGTATTATGCACGTGTAAGTTAATAAATGCAAAAATTCTAATGAAATAAATGATTTTTCTTAAACCTCGTAGATTTGAAACAGAAAATAAAGAACATGTCCTTGCTCACATAACTTCACAGGTCATAGACCAGATCATTTTCATGCTATATAAAATATTTTAGACCATAACTACATAGAAAACTAGTTAATTTATTCCATAAAGGAGAGATAAGCTTCATAATAAAGTCTATCACTGGTAATTTAAGAAGACAGTAATTTTACTTAAAATTAAGATATAAAATTCCTTAATCAATATTAGCCAATAAAATTTAACATTATGGCAAGAGAATAATCACTATATACAGTAAGTCATACTGAGCCTAGAGAGGAAATGATGGACATTTATCAATATAATAAATCACTGATTAATGAGGGAGAATACAAGAAGCAAACCATCATTTATAATTTTCGAGCATATGTGATGGTCACTGGAGCCTAAAAGTTTGCTGAAATAGCCCAGCCCCAATCAGAACCATCTGCAATACTCAATCTCCCATAAGCTTGATGGAAATTCTTGGGGCCTGGGCAGCAAGGGGTGGGGTGCCTGGAAAGACTTGTTCCCTACCAACATGGAACCAGGTGGAATCAAGTTGAGGGCTCTTATAAACCAGGGCATATAGCTCCTGTGTTACATTTCTCTTCTCTCAATGAAATCATGTTTTAGTTTCCCACAATGCCTCCCAGAGTGTTAGCTACATACTTTAAATACCCAACCACCTGAAATGAAGTCTAAGGAGAAATGGAAAGTTCATTCTTTCAGACAACATATTTGAACTATGGGAAAATGAATCAACCTCAGAAAGTGGTAAGCTCCTGCTCTTGCTGGTGAAATGACAGGAATACACACAATTGGTTCACAACAATTTTGATGTTTCTGAATACCTGGCAATCTCCTAAGGATCTGCTTCTATTGCAAACCTCTCTAGTTGTAGTTTTTTTCATCCACATCTCAAGTTCTCCTGGCCCTGAAGGTGTATGTGGAAGCTCTCTTTCTTGCTCCTCATAACCACTTCCAGACTATTGCTCCTGCATCCTCCTCCAAAGATCTTTGCTTCAAAGCACATATCAGTAGACCAGAGCACCTATTATCCTTCTTTGTTGCATTCATATCAGTTCTTCTATATCTTTCCCTCTCATTTATTGAAGATTTTACCATCCTGGTTTGTTTTAGTTCTCTCCCCCTCTGCTCCTGTAATCATTCAATGTCTTTTAAATATCTAAGTAGACAACCCCCCTGGCCTCTCAGTGCCTCTAATGATCTTAACTCCATCTCATATCAGCTACCCTTCCCGTGGACACAGACTCAAACTGGTCATTACAAATAACTGTACCACTTCTAAAATATCAATTGCAAGAAGCCCCCCTTCTCACCATCATCTCCCTTTTCTCTAGTTCACACATTTAAGTAGCCCACTCTAACAATTCTTCACTCTACCAGATGCTCCAAACCATTGTCTCTATCACCCTGCCACACTCCATAACTCCCTGCCAGGTCTACTCTTCCCTCTATACTTAGCCAGGATTCATGGTCCAGCATTACAGCCACCCTCTTGTCCTGACTCATTTCCCTACTCTACCTTCTTTGTAGTCAATTTAAAAAAAAATAGAAATCAACCCCAATCCAATTCTTTACCTACTGTTCAACAGTTAAACAGTGGCTAGAGAAAACACATAAGAAACCATTAATGGAATCATAATAAATCAACAGAGAACAAGGAGAGTGGGAGGCAGTGAGGATATATTGCAGAGTGTTTTGAGAATTTGAGTAGCTTTGGGTTCCCACAATGATTGGAGGACATTATTGTCATTTCAACTGGTCGGGAATGAAGAATACCAAATGCCCTTCAAAGTACGGGAAAGTCCTGCACAAAGAGTTTGTCCTGCATTCCACAGACTTTCAAATTTCCCTCAAAACACTCATGTTAGGTGGATACATACTTATCTGAGTCCAAAACCAAACTACATTTTATAATAAACAAAGTATTTTTGCATGATTATAATACACACCAAATTTTCTAGGAGTGCAGCACCCTCAAATATCTCAAAGAAGAAAAATTTGATGCTTCATGTGTCATTTACTCTTTTGGAAAAATCCTATCACTAATGACACTACCATTCATGGTTTTTGAGTCATGAGTATAACACAACTGTATAATTTGGCATTTGTAGTTCACACATTTAGCTGGTATTACATATAGGAATAAGAATCTGCAAACTTAGTCATATTGTCCAGTATAGCTGTGCTGAAAATTTATACTGAAATGTATATTACTTTTATTTTTAAATTATTTTTCTTTTACTACCATTATTATTACTAGACAGTCATTTGTTTAGAAATTATATTGGTGTATAGGTTATCTTAACTATGAATTTGATTTTAGGATAGTAAAGGATCATTACAAAATATTTGTTATACAAAGGGAGCATCAGATATGATACTGCTGACAACCACTATTTTTAAATGTACTACCACAAACCTCAAGTGGGTCCTTAGGACTTCTGGGCCATCCCACTGCCTTCCTCCAGCCCACTGATTCCAGGCCTCTGAGAAACACACCATTTCCTTCTCATTAAACCTCCCATACCCTGCCATCCATTGCTCTGTGCTGCTGGAGATCTTATTTCACTGAGAAAACGGAAGTGTTCAAAAGACACCTTCCCTTTCCTCCCATCAGCAAATCTTCTGGACTCCTCCCTCTAGACCCCTGCACTTTACCTGTCTTCCTGCTACAGTGGAGCAGTCTGTGCTCCAGTCTAAGGCCAAAACTTCTGCTTGTGGCCTAAACCCTTATTCTCTCTCAGGTAGGACTTTGTTTCTGCACTGCACTATTAATCTTCCTGTCCTCAGAGTCATTCCATCTGCGTAATATCTAACAGTCAGACATCTTTAAAAAAAGAAAAAAAAAGAACTTTCTCTACACCCCACATCCACCTCCAGTTATTGCCTTATTTCTTTGTATTACTTTATAGAAATGCCTTAAAAGATTCATCTCCTCTTTTCTCCTTTTCTCTTAGACCAATTCCAACTGGATTTTCACCTCTGAAACTCCATTAAAACTGCCCCATCAGGATTTTCACATTACCAAAGTTAAAACTCATTTCTTAAGATATACCTGAACAGCAATGTCTAACAAAAGATCATTCTTTCCTTAAATACTTTCTTCACTTGACTTCCTTTGACTTCCATGAAATCACATTCTCTTGGTTTTCTTCCATATTAGTAGCCAAAATTGTTACTCTTCTCTTGCTTGCCAGAGGGTGGGAAATAAATCCCATAAAAATCTAGGGCTTGCTACATCAATGTAGTTTTTAGTGTCCACTGGTCTGGTATATGTAAGGATATTCCTCTAAAATAAAGGTCAAGTTGTTGCATTTTGTACCTCTTACTGCATCAACAACAAAAGACACAGCACTGATGGATCCTTTTGGGTTTAGAAACAACATGTACCACACTTCAAAAATACTGCTGTGACCCTTTAACCAGAAATCACAGAAGGCTGTCAATTTCAACAGGTGTTCAGAGCATGACAGGAATCTGAAGCAGTTCCAGGTGGTGGTACAAGCTACCCTGCCTCCTGGATGGTATGACCTGGCAGATCCAATGGCCCTGGAGGTATCTGAAGTGGTGAGGATGCTGTGTTAAGTCTCTGGTAAGCCCCATACTCTTGTTGCAGTATAGATCCTGGCATTCTATAGCAAGATAATACTCTGTAATAGGGAACAACTCTGTTTTTGAAAAATAATCCCTGGTGTATTGAAAAGCTTTTTTTGAGACTGAGAACTGGAGCATTGTATCATCAAGTGACTGAAATCTGAACCACCTGGAATGAACTGAGTGTAGTCATATCCTCCATGTCATAAGGTAAGACAGATGCAATTACATTCTA